ATGAATGAAACATTAAAAAAAAAGACTGAGGATGGGCAAAGTTTAGGTACATTTAGTAGCAGAAATAGGTATCAAATATGTATGTATAATTTCAAATGTGGATACTAAAACAAAAATCATGATGCCTTTGGATGGAATCAAGTTCTGCTTGGTTGGTTGTTTTTCAGAGTAGATGGGGATTTACGGGAAGGATGCTAAGTTTAATTGGTGATTTCTTACATTTTTCAATAATTTTCTCAGATTTGGGCAATGGGTAATGGTCATTAGCGATTCAGGTGGTTGGGATTTGGTGAAACAGTGAAGCAAAAGGAAAAATTAAACCAAAATGCTGCTAGATATTAGAGTTAATTTGTGAGAAGATTATGACTCAAAATATATTGATAGCTTAAAAATAAAAAAATATGCATATATATATATATCTTCAAGAGATTGAGAATAGCAGTAAGGTCTGAAACGTTTGCTCAATAATTAAAGAGAATATTCTACATAAAATGTTCTATAGAAGCCAATAAATTTGACCAGGGAAAGTGGCATCGGGAACCTGAGTGTCAGAAAAGCATACTGTTTCTTCTCAACCTTGTTGTACTTCTTAAATTGTGTACCAAATGCATGTATGACCTAGTCTCAATAAATTACTTTCTTAAAAATTAAAAAGGGAGAATTTAAAAAATACTCATTAAACTTAAGGTAATGGTGGGACATTCAGTGGAGATATATGGCTTTCCAAGATGCAGCTTAGTGGTCAAGACCCTGGAAAGTGGAGTTCAATCTCCTAGAGTGGCCCCCCTCCAAGCCTTGCCTTCTGAGTTGGCCAATAGAGCACTGGCCACATCACGTCTCTCAGTGGGATTGTGGTGAACATACCTACAACATGACAATCCTGCAGACATTCTGTGTCTATGGTTTTTATGACCCTGATCTTTTTGAGTTCTCTTTGTTTAAAAGCTTCTTCCCAGCATAAAACCCATTATCTCCACTCCTAAATAGCTTCAAAAGCAGGTTTCCTTGGTTTCATCATCATTGTCACCATCACCAATATCATCATAATGTTTATAACGTAAAAAATTTTGATGAGCTTCATGCAAATTGATCACAACCACATAGGTGTTCTTGAGATTCACATGAGTTTCAAAGGAGATATTTAACCAATATTTTATTTGTTTGTTTATTTATTTTCAATGCTGGGGACATAACCTGGAGACCAATAGCTTAGTGGTTGTGAGGCAGGCACTCTACTACTGAGCTACATCCTCAGCCTCCTATTTTGCGCATTGCTGAACAACAACAGAAACATGGGAAGATATTTATCCAGGCACTGAATGCACCTGGAGTGCCAACTGAGCAGAAGCCTTAGATCACAATGCCATTTTCCCACTCTGCTAGGAAGTCATTTGGAAGGGGTTTTAGGAAACATCCTTCTCAGCCAAAAGATACATATTGACCCAAGGCACTATGTTGGTAGTGGAAGAAATTATCTACTTGGGATCCCTTAGACAGTAATTGGAATAGCCCCCCCCCAAAAAAAAAAGAATTGCTTAAAATTTATCCCAGAAAATCAACTGGGTGGTAACAACAACAAATACCAGATTTTGAGTCAACTCTGAATCTACTAATAGCCTTATATACTATAAACACTAAGTTGTTTTCTGGAAAAAAAAAGAACAAAATATTTAATGTATAAACAATATAGAATGTATGTATTGTCCACAACCCAGTTGTGATAAAGCAAATGGATAGAACAAAACAAGATACCCAGAAATGGCACGTGATACATAAGGTTTACTAAAAACTGCTTACAGTGGCCTCAGACTGGATAGATAGCACCTCTGTCCCTCATGAGGCTTTGCCAGAAAGTAGTGTCTCTGTCAAGGCACTTTTCTAGGGGTAGCTGGCTGGACTAGCGTACATCTTTCCACAGTGGTCTGTTCTGCACCAGTTCCTACAGGGACAGGGGTTAGGTTACATAAGCAGTGACATCCTTAGATTGCTGCATCCCATTTGTATGACCAGCATCCCAAGGAGCTTAGCGTACGTGCAAGAAAGTGGTTCCTGCAGATAATGCTAGTTTGCCCCAGTTCCCAGTGCATGAGAGAACGAGTCAGTGTTCTTCAAGATAGTGCTTATCTGGGCATTCCAGTGTGGGCCTGCATTCATTTTCCCTTGACTTGGCCAGGTTCTTGGGAATGGAAAGTGGCATTTTGGGGACATGGTGTTTTGCTGGCCGCCTTTTTTCAAGGATGAAACAACATAAAATTGAATATATAGAAAAATAGTAAAATAAAACCCTCATGCCCAGCTTTCAATTTAAAAAGTGGACTGTTAACCTAAAAATTTGAAACCTTCTAAATGCTTCCTTTCAACTTCATTTCCCCAAAACATTTTTCCTGTTGTCAACATGTGGATTACTATATTAGTCGTTCTCTTTCACTTCTGTAAATTTTCGTTATGAAATTATTTCATAACAGTACATTATTTTACATGCTTTTGAACCTTAAAAAAGAAGAATAAGAAGAATCAAGATGTATGTTTTCTTCCCAAATCTTGCCCATTTCACCAAGTGCGGACTTTGTAGGTCATTTAAATTTAGTGCCTTGTCATTGTTACATAGCAGGTTTTTGTACAACTAGACTATAATTTACTTATTTTTTTCTGAGTTATTTCTCTTTTTTGTTTGTTTATTTTGTGTTTTTTATAATTTTTTTAGACTTTGATGGACCTTTATTTTATTCATTTATTTTTATGTGGTGCTGAGAATGGAACCCAGTGCCTCACACATGCTAGGCAAGGGTTCTACCTCTGAGCCACAATCCCAGCCACTGTGTTTGTTTTGCTATTAAAAGCAATGCCACTACAAGTATTCATGTCCATGGTGTCTGTACTTAAGAGACTACCATCTCTAAGGTAGATGCCAAGGAGTTGAATTGCACAAATAAGAAGGTATGTACATCTTCAGTTTTACTAACTAGCACCGAATTGGCCTCAAAGCAGTTTGGTGCTAGTTAGTAAAACTGAAAGTTAGTAAAGGATGGAGCAATCTAAGGATGTCACTGCTTATGTAATAATTGAAATCCTACCTCACTGGCATTTAATATTGTTAGTTCTATACATTTACTAATTCATTTCACTCATTTATTCAGTTATCTCTTTGGTTATTGCCAATTAGATAGATATGAAATGGTGTTTCTTCATGTTTGTATTTGCAATTTCTCTCATATCTGGTAAGTTCATAACTCTGTTTCTGTTTCTGTCTTATATCTGTGTGTGTGTGTGTGTGTGTGTGTGTGTGTGCACATACACATTCATACAGGCATAGGCTCACCATTCATACCCATTTTCTGTAAGATGTGTGCCTTTCCTCACTTTCATATTGAACTTCACCTTTTACTTATTGTTTTTTCTTTTTTTGTACACTCTGCTGAATTTTTTAGTTACATGTGCTACAGATGTTGTGATGTTATAAGCAGAATGTCTTACAAAGTTATATATCGTGTGACCTGACATATTCCACAAAGAACTTTGTTCTCGTTAATGCATTTCTTCTCTTAGATATTGAATTTTCTTGTCCATGGGTCCAGTATATAAAGATTATACTTTCATGTCCTAGTTTTTCTTTAATTTCTTTCAAAGTAAGGGATAGTCCTGAATGGAAATATTGACCTTTTTTAGTTCTACTCTTTAAAAGAGTTATTTTTAATATTTTGCTATTAAGCATAGCACTTTGTGTAGATGTCTTTTTTATCAGTTTAAGAATGTAAGAGACATAGAAATTCCAAATTAGCTGAATTATTTGGTTGCTTTAACCATGAATGAATTTTTAAAAAGTCTATCACAATTACTTTACTTTAAAAATATTTTACATACATTGAAATAATCATTTGACTGCTTTCGTATGTTAATTTAGGTAAAATATTAAATTACTTCCAATCATTTCTGCTTCAGCACAAAGTACTTAGTCATGTGGGTGGGGACAGAGTGCCAAAGGGGGTAAAACCAAGAAATATTACTAAGGAAAAAAACCCAACACTTGGTCATTGTCAGACATGAGAGGTGAGAATGTGACATTATCCAGGAACATTTGAACACTCTGAGACGAAAGTAAGAGACTAAAAGTTCGAGCTACCTGAGTCCATGATGGTTCATAGAAAATAGAGACGGGAAAGAGATGGAGGATCACATGCATGATGGTAGAAAAGGGAGACCGATGGTTGGGCACTGTTATTTGGCCTCATTTAATAGATTTTTCTTTTTCTCTTAAGAAACAAAACAACCGAGATAGGAATTTGGATAAGATGAACATGTAGGAGGTCACAGAATTCAGAGGGGCCCCATATGTATCGTGTGACCTGGCATATTGTGAAAAGGGGACAGGATGGCTCTCCAAAGCTGATGAAAGAAATTTAGTAAAAAAGAAGAGAACATACTTCTTTACATACAAATTAACAAACTAGTAGGATCAGTTATCCTCAAGCTTCGATGTAGATTCAGCAATGGATGAACACATTAACAAATGCAGTTTAGATCTAAATGAATTTGTATCTGACTTGTTGTGACAATCCTGGACAACGGGTACTCCCTGCTTGTGTCCTTTGTTGAGCACGCAGACCCCCACCTGAGCAGGGATGGATTTGGCTTCCCTCTCTTGTGGAAACCTTGAATGGGGTGACTCTCTGCTTTTCTTCCCTCCCCTTCCCACATTCTCTCGCAGATCATGTCTCTTTAAAATATTAATTTTGAGGATGGCCTTGTTGTGATTAAGTAAGAAAGGGAAGTTCCATAAATAGAAAAGGCCAGCATATGGAACCATTTAAAAGTTCTGTAAGGGCCAATGAGGGGAACCACAGAAGAGAACATTCCATCTGCCTCTTGTTGCTACTTCCATTCTGGTCTCGGTGCAGATCAGATAGAGGATGCAGCCCCAGGAGAGCAGCAGGGCCCATGCACATGTAACCAATTGTTTTCTTTTGCCTGTAGTAAAGTTCACATTCTGATTGCTTTTCCAGATTATGTAGATCCAGACATATTTTATGCAGTCATCCGGATCTTTCTCTCTGGGTAAGCATAGTTCAATTGTTTCTCTGCATGAGGCCTCTGTAGCATTTTCCAAACTTATGAGAAGAGAAACAAACAGAACCTCCCTAAAGTAAGAAACATACCAAGTGACCCTTGCAAGCAAAGTAATCATCTGGATCCACTCTTGGATCAAGGAAGTGGGGCATCATCTGCAAATGATATAAAAGGCTGATTAAGTTAGAGTCTTTAGGTCTTCATATTAGATCCCTTTATATTCGCTTTTCCTAGACTCCCACTTTGATGACAGGGTTCAATATTTCACCCACATAACTCTATCACTTATACCCATTCTCTTCCCTTGTTATTGAAGCAAGTGGAAATAGATAACAATATAGAAATGTTCTTCCAAAGTCTCTAGAAGAGATACTTTGTATGGTTTGATGTCTGCACCCCTTTGAAATTTCTTTATATTGCAACCTAATCAACAACAAGGAAGAATCTCTTGAAGGAGAGTAGGACATCAGAGCTATGCTCTTGTGAAAGGCACTAAAGCACTTTGAAAAGGTTTGGGGAGGGCTAGGGTTGTAGCCTGGTGGTAGAGCAGTTACTTAGTACCCACGAGGCACTGGGTTTATTCCTTGGCACTGATAAAATAAAAACAACAAACAAACAAACAAACAAAAAACCTCCACTAGGCCCTTTTTACCCTTCCACTTTTTCCACTCTGTGAGAACACAACATTCAAGGAGTCATCTGGAAGCAAGAGACTAGGTCTTCAGCAGCCTGATCCTGTGAGTGCCTTGATCTATGACTTCACAGGCTCTACAACTATGAGAAATAAATAAATTTCTATTATTTACAAATTATCCAGTGAAAAATATTTTGTTATAGCAGCAGGTATAGACTAAGACATTGCTTGTTTTAATCAAATTGCCTTCTTATTCACATTGACGTGTGTGTGTGTGTGTGTGTGTGTGTGTGTGTTTAATGTTTAAATGGTAAAAAGCAAGGTTTCTAGAGTAACTTTAGAGTAATGAGTATGTGACTTAAGGGAGGAAATGAAACAAATAGGTAGATTATTATGGTTTGGACATTAAATGCTGCCTAGAGGCTGGTGTGCGCTATTGGGAGTCAGTGGAATCTCTTACAGGTGGGGCTTAGAGGAAGAAAGTAGGTCAGTGTGCGCATGCCTTTGGAAGAGATATTGGGACCCTGGAAGCTCCTGGCTGCCATGAGGTGAGCAGTCTTGCTCCACCACACTGTCCCTGTCTCTCTATAGTCCTTAAGTGATAGGATCATGTGACCATGGATTGCAACTTCTGAAACTCTGAGCTAAAATAAAATTTTCTTTCTTGTATAATGATCATCTCTGGTATTTTTTTTTTTCTCTCATAGAAAACGAACTAACACAGGAGGGAAGTGTATGCAAAAAGAGTTGAGCGCATAGCTGAGAAATTAGGCTTTCTTTGTATACCTTTGGTAGGATTAGACATGAAAAAAAAAAAAGATCCATTTATTTTTTAACAAAACTTTATGGAACCCTAGAGAAAGCTTACACTACATACAGAAATAGACCGGGATTTAGGAAACATTTATTCCAGGAAAATCTCTTTGTGCTTCACTTTGCTTTCTAAATCTGTATTCATTTTTCATTTGTCACATAACAAATTACCACAGATTTAGCAGCTTTAAACAATGTGCTTTTATCATCTTACAGTTCTGTAGATCTGAAGTCCAGACAAGCTCAGTTGGGTTTTCTGTCTAGAATCTCAAGAGACTGGAGTCAGAGTATCTGCTGGGCTGCCCTTTAGCTGAGGTTCTGAGTGAAGATTGGCTTCCAAACTCAGAGGTTGCTGCAAGAATGCAGTATTTTTGGAGCCCTAGAACTGAGAACTGTTTCCCTGCAGACAGCTGGGCAGGAGTTTCTCTCCGTTTCTAGGGCCTGCTAGGGTTAGCATATTCTGGATATTAGATACAGATATATAGAATGCTATTTTTCATTCATTCATTCACCGGATATTTAATGATGAGTGCTTACCACATACCACATTCCTGAAGTGGCTCCTTCCAGCTCAGGAACACCACCTCTAATCCTTCTCTTCTGCAAGTTTCCCTGACTCCTTTTTCCCGGGCCAGTACACAGAGGAAACTGTGCACTTAAAGGTGTGTGATTAGATTCAGTTCACCCAGATAATGCAGGATAACTCGCTGTATTGAAGCGAATCAATCAGTAACCTTAATTACATCTGCAAAGTCTCTTCTGCCTTGACATATAATACACCACGTTGACAAGATATCTCTTAATATTAACAGTTCTAGAAATGAGAGTAGAAATTTTGGAGAACTCTTTTTAGAATTCCATGCACCACAGCATCTTTCAAGTGAATAAATAAGTCCTACATCTTTATGTCAGAGACATCAGATAAAAATGAACCACATCCTCTGAAATCTTCATGATTAGATGAGCACCAGAGAGTGACTATGTTTTCATTAAAATAAGTTCTGGGTCAGTGGCACATTTTAACTCTAATCTTCATAAATGCCTCCCCATCAATTTCTAATCCTCAAAATATTTCCCATGTAACTATGTGGCCAGTACTAAATTGTAAAGGTATAGTATGTATAGATGGCCAATACATCTGAACTGTTGAGAATTTCCAAGAGGGTTGTCGTGGAAAATGCAAATTTATTCTTTTGTACTTGATTTGTCCTATGTTTGGTTTATTATTTTTTGTTTATTCCTTTTAAAAAAATTTTTATTTAGGGAAGTTGAGGGATTTCATCTGTAAATGAGCATATTCCCTTCAGTTCCCACTCACATTAAATTTCTCAGGGAAGTTAGATGCCTCTATGGAAAAAGATGTCATATCAAATCTTGTTGTTTAAACTTCCCATTTTCTTGGGGGTGTTAGAAGTATGCTACAATACTCCTGGGCCCAAGAGTATATGGGATTGATACTCAGGCTACTCAGAGAAATCCAATTTCTCTTCTTCTAACTGAACTTACTCTAGCTAGAGAACATCAATTTTATCTTTTCTTTTTTTGATCCTCCCTACTGGGGTTTCTTTAGTTCTTCAATATGGCTTCAATATATTGTCTTCACCTTGGGACACTAAAAGGAGTTTGGTTAATGTGTCTTGATAATTTGAAATATCTGGTAATTCTTTTAAACTGGCTGGATCCTTTCAAGAAATGCATTTGGGTTAGCATATTCTGGATATTAGATACAGATATATAGAATGCTATTTTTCATTCATTCATTCACCGGATATTTAATGATGAGTGCTTACCACATACCAGATACAGTTGTATGTGCTGAGAACAGAGCAGTGAAGCAAAACAACATCTTGGTTCTTGTTTGAAGGAGGGAGAACAGATAATAAATAAATAAACATGGAAAACAAGTGGGCCTTGTAAAGGCAAGGATCCTACAATGTGTGTTGCAACAATGGGTAATGTAAGGGAAATGATAACCAGAATATAAGGTATTCGGGAAAGAGTGTTAGGTGTGGTGGCTGAAATGTCTTATTTGCTAATTGTCATCCAGGAATACCACATCACAAGTGGCATTTGAGCATTTGAGCAAACACTTGAAGGAAGTAAGAGAGTGATCCACCCAGATTCCTGTTCTAAGCAAAAGGAACAACAACTGCAATGACCCGGATGTAGGGTCATTGTCATTGCCTTTTTTGTCATGATGGGAGAACTGCAGGGCTGGACCGCACAGGGAGAATGAGAAAGATTCAGATGCGATGTGAGGGCATGTTGGCTCTTCCTCTCTCAGTGAGGTGAGCGGTTTTGAGAGTAATGGCATGATCCGTCTTTGGTTTCGGATCATCATTCTAGCTGCTGAGTGGAAAATAGACTATTTGAAAACAAGGAAAGTGTTTGAGAAACCATTTCTAGGATTCAGTGTGGTAGCCTGGACTAGGGTGGCAATAGTGAAGGTGTTGAGAAATGGCCAGAATCTGTGTGTATATTGATGCTAAGGTTAACAGAATTTGCTGTTTGGATTACACAAGGAATTGAAGAGAAGTACACCAGTGTACAGTGATTGTAAGGTTTCTTGGCCTAACCCACTGAAAAAAATTCATTCTGTTATCTCTTCTGCTGGGAAGACTGTAGGAGAAACAGGCTTGGGAAACAGGGAGGGGTCCTGGGAGATTACTTCAAGGACATGTTCATCCTGTGGAGATCTCAAGTGGGGAGACATAGGATTCTGAAGTATGGGGTGGCGTCCAGGTATAAGTTTAAATTTTTAAATAGTTAAAGTTGGTTTTGTTAAGAGACTAGTTAAGATCACTTGTAAAAATAAAGAGTACTGAGAAGTCCAAGGAATGACCTCTCCAACATTTAGAAGTGTTCCAAGATAGGGAGGAAACAATAAAAGAGATTGAGATGATCATAGGTCGTCATCCAAATTACAGAAAAATCTGATCAAGTCTGCAGGTGTGTCATGGTTCTGATTATCGCCCAGAGGTAGTTGTGTGTTCTACATTTCTTCACCACAGAATACCTATCATTCAGCAATTTTAAGAGATCAGGGTCATGACATTGGACGAGTCACAAAACCTCTCTGGATCTCATTAAATTCTTCTGTTATAGGAAGTAGATACAAATTGGGGTACCTGAGCTTGAGAAATATTTGTACAGTTACCAAATAATGAAAAGGGAATTAGGGGGTTATAGCTCAGCAGTAGAGTGCTTGCCTCAGAAACGTGAGGCACTGGGTTCGGTCCTCAGCACTCACATAAAAATAAATAAAATAAATAAAGTTATTGTGTCCATCTTTAAAAAAAATAAAAAATAAAAGGGAATTAGGAATTCCACCTCTTTCTGAATATTATGATTAAAAATACTAACGTTTATCTAATGCTTCAATGAATTCCAGGACTGGGCAAATGTTATTTTGATTAGTTTTCACAATGATCCAATGAGGTAAATAATTGATATTACTCTCATGAGGAAACAGCATCTAAGAAAGTTTAAGCGAGTCCAAACTCACAGTTAATAAGTAGAAAAGTTGAGATTAAAATCTCTATCTGCCTAGATCAGAGGCCTTGCTCCTAACAGCTACAGCTTGTCATCATCCCACAGTGGGTCTCTTTCCTTCCCTCTCCCCATGTGTCCTGCTCTGCTTTCTGTACTTGATCTCTTTCTAGAGTGATAGCATCCTAAACTGCAAGGGCTACCGTGCTGTTCACCCAGGGAATACCACAGGACAGCCAGGCCCAAAGAAAACAACCCTGCCCCTTCTAGCCTTTGTAACCTCAGGGCAGTATTTGAGGAAGCTCACACACAGCTAGCAGAAGAGTCTGTGGCTTTTGTATATGTTTCGCATCCCTTCTCTGTTGACAGGAAGAACAGGGAACATCCATGTGTATCTGTTACGTAATCTGTCGTAACAGGGAAGGTAGCTTGATCCCAGCCACAAGAGGTAAAGATTCTTTTCCCGAATAGAAGTAGAATCTACAAAATGGTGTTCTGAGGGAATAATAAAATAGGTAATTGCAAGTTTGGAGCTCAAGCTCTGGTTTCATGGTTTTTAACAATATGACCCTGGGGACTTAACTTCCATGAGTCTTTGTTTCTTTATCTCTAAATGGAAGTTAAAAAAAATCTGCCCTGATCTACTGGCAAGAGGCGAAGTGAGAACATGGATATGAAGGTGCTTTGTAAACCATAGAGCACCATAGGTGTGGATGTAGTGAGCTCCCGGGGCTATTGTCCTGTCTCACTGTGGAGTCACCAGGGGCACTGGTCACTGGTCAAAACTGTAAACAGTCATGCCGCAGTCCAGCTACAGCAAACTAACCGGGGGGTGACGAACAACTTGTGTACATTGATACAGCAGGAGTGGGAGCCCTTTATTGTAGGACAATAGAGGTATGTATACATTTTGCACGGCTTATCTTAATTAGCATAAACTAGATACATCAGTCAACCAATAAAGAATCTCCACACGCTTTTGTTACTTCTCAAACCACTCCCTCTGGCATTTTGCCAGGCACCATCTAGACTTGTTTACAGACTCTAACACAGTCAGACACAGAAAAGTGAGTAAAGGAGGTGGCAGCAGAAAGAGGAGGCTCAGGGAAGACAACAAAGGAGGCAACCAAAGAAGCAGGAGAGGGGAGGTCTGGAGGGGTGGGGAGGAGAGCCCACTTAATCTGAGTGAGACTCTGAGCCCAAGCACCAGTCCTTCTCCATGCTGTGCCATTGGCCCTCTGGTAAGCCCCAGGGTTGTGTAATGTTCTCTTTGTGGCTGCCCATATTCCCAGAGCCTGCTGTCAACAGAGCATTTGGTAAATGCAATTCTCATAAAAGCAGGTCATATTTAGGACTGATAGTTTAATGAGACAACTGTTACAGTTATTGTTTCCGGGGAGAGAAATCAATAATGTTTATGTGTGAGTGTGTGTGTGTGTGTGCGTGTGTGTGTGTTTTATGCATATGTGTGTGCATTTGCGTGCATTTGTGAAGTTGAACTTTTATCATTACAAGCATCAGGTCATCAAGGTTCAGATTAGGAGAGGAAGTGTTCTCCAGAGCTCCCAGATTTTTCTGTTGATTAGTATGGAAGCCATCATGATGACTGAACTTTTTGAATAAGTGTCATTCAACCAATGCCAAAGATTCCTAAGAAGCCTTTGCTTCTTGGAAAGAATCCTTTAAATAGGGAAGAGAAGGGCTGCAATTCCTTGGTGAGTTATGAAGCTGAGGTTGATGATGCATCAGAACATATCCTGCAAAGACTCCCTATCTCTTGTCCCCCAACCACCACTTCTATATTGGCTTTCTCACTCACTCTCCATATGGAAAAATATATTCCTCACTCCTATTACCCACTTCTCCCTGATTTTTACTTCTGCTTAGATGGAAAGATAACCCAGCAATGCCCACGGGGCTAATATATGAAGGAATCTCCAAAGAACCCTTGAAATACTCTGGAGGGAGTGCAGCTCAGAGCTCAGTACTTCATGCCTTTGATGAGTTCCTGGGCATTCATCACAGCGAGGAAAGTGGTAAGTCAGGCATTTTCTTTTCTTTTTCCAAGGGGAGAGTGAACAAAGAGGTGTTTTTACCAAATGATAAAACCAAATCTAAGTGAGAATGTCAGGCAGTCTGTACTGCCCTAAATCAGTTAGGACACTGTGTGCCTGCCACATGTTATGGTGTCAAGTCAATTGACTCCAGATCTTAGCAGGATCCTGGCTTTCCTTTTGCAAATCTTAAAACATTGCCATAATTCCAGCTGTTCTCTGTAATTTTTATTTGGATCCTTAGGCATGTAGCTTCCTTTTTCTAAAATGGGGAAATCTGGAGTTTGAAGGTACGACATGTGGCTGAGTCTGGAGCCAGATGGAAATGGGTCTGAAGTTCTCCACTGCAGTCCTTCCCCATGAAATGGTACAAGTTCCAGCCAAATCCATTTGGCCCAGAAGAGGGGGGTCTGTCATTTTGGAAGCTTGAAATTGCTCATTTCCTTTCTTGCCAGCACCGAGCTATGTGCTTAACAGCTGCAAAAAGGCACTTCGTACTCTAAAGTTTTCAAGTTGGATTAGAAAAAAATGAGCAAAATTCAGTGTCATAGAATCATCTCTATGACAAAAGTCAAATCTGTGGAACCATGAAAAATTTTCATGATTTTTTTCATCGATGATATTAATATCTGCTATACTACACATAATATTAAGCACATAATGAACTTGCCATACATATATGTTGATTTTTAACCAGCTTGGCTTCAAGAGTCTATTAGTAACTCAGTTGCTCATTCTTTGTGTTTGGGCCCTTATAAACATTCTAACTTTTATGGTTCTTAGGACTGCATCCAAAAAAAAAAAGCACTTAGGAAACAAAATTTATGAGAGTATTTAGCAAGTTAGTTTAAGGTTTGTATCCTACATTTATGGATATCCCTCATAGAAGCTGGCAACTACACACTTGGTTTCTATTTGGTATATGATAAATATTTATACATTGGTTGACAGATCTAGTTCCAATTCAGCTATCTGCAATGCACTTGCTTCCTTTCCTCTATCTCCTGTCAACAGTCAGAAATTCACATTTGAATATGTGACATCTACAAGCAAAAAAAGCCAGCAAGTAGATTGTGTTAGGACACCATCCACAGTCTTTGGTGCCTTCTTATCTGGAAAAGCAGCCAAGCTTTCCTAAAATTCCACATGGTGCTAAGATCGTTCTGGGTTGTTTCTTTCAGCTGACTTTCTGTACAGAATGAGGGACTACATGCCTCCTTCCCATAAGGCCTTCATAGAAGAAATCCACTCAGCTCCTTCACTGAGGGACTTCATCCTATCCTCTGGCCACGGACACTGTCTGACAGCCTATAACCAGTGTCTGGAGGCCCTGGCAGAACTGCGCAGTTATCATATCACCGTGGTGACCAGATATCTCGTCACAGCTGCAGCCAGAGCCAGGAGCAGGAGGCTAGACCATCTCCCAGGGCCACCTCAGGCTTTAGAAGACAGGGGCACTGGAGGAACTGCAGTTCTGAGCTTCCTGAAGAATGTCAGGGATAAGACCTTAGAGGCAACCCTCCACCCAAGTGGTTAAGAGACCACCTTCTCCCCAGTAGGGAGACCCCATTGGAGGGTAAGTGGACCCGGACCATGAAGGCCAGGGTTCTGCCTGAAATCATACAGTGCCATTTATATCCCTCCTCTACAGTATGCCATATTCTCCCGTGCTGAGAGCTGTTGTCCTCACGGAGGAGAGTTTATATAAACGGCCAGAAATATTCCTGCCCTACCTGATCACTGCCTAACAGCAAACAGCTGTGGATGCTTTCCCTCAGAACTCCATAGAGAAGAAGATGTGCCCTATTCTGTTTGCCAAGTAATAGAAAAATAATATAAAATTTAAAAACTAAATGAAATTGCTCATGGATACATCTCCTTGTTGATTTCTTTAAAGAAAAAAATTCACCTAATTTATTAAGTTACTACCAAGCTCTGATTCAGGGATTAGAACAGAGATTTCTGTGATCTCAGGGAAATCTCCTTGCATGTATTGAATCTGGGGTCTCCCTGCATGGATTGAATTTTGTAGCAGGAGTTTAGGAATGCTCAAGTGGAGATGTATAGGAAGAGGATGTTGATAATAAAGACGTGGTTGTCATGCATGTGAAAAACAGCAGCTAATGATATGAGATTCCCTGATGCATGGTACATAGATTTGCAAATTCTATTTTAGTTTTCTCCTCTGTTTTTAGAAGACTGTTTTCTTTTTTTTTTCCTCCTTAGACTAAAAATCTGTACTTATAAAATGAAATAATTGACCTTTGGAAAGCAAATGAGCCAAATAGAAATAAATAGTAAAACAACATATTCAGTGTGCAAATAAGTGTGACTTTTTACTATATTAGTTTCTATCTCAAAGTCCCTTTCTGCCTGACAGAAGGTAGTCAGAAAATTTTAATCTTGCCAATTGAAAGTAAATTCCATTAACTTTGTTCCTGCCCCCAATTTGTACTCACAAACACACCTGGGATGTTATCTTAATACCCAGGGGGTCTCTGCTGTTCTGGAGTCAGGGAGTAGCTCCTGATCATTGAGCAGCCTCTGTCTGAGTTAGTGCCTGGCAAGAAGTAGCCTCCCCATGTGGACACAGTCAAGTGTAACTGGCAGCAAATCTCATCTCCTCTGAAAGGCCTTGGGGATTAGCCCTCAAAGTCCTATCATGGCACTAGGAAAGCATTCATGTCCTTCCCACATTTCCTAGAAATATTTAGAGACTATAACCGCTCAGGATTGCTGCCCAGCACTCACAGCAAAGTTCTCCACTCTCCAGTGCCTTAGAGGACAACAAGTTAGGGACTCTTGTGGGCCTTTGATGATAAGTAGACATGAACCATGTCTTCCACCAGGGCACCATGGAGCTTGGTTGTAAGTGATGAAGAAAAGGATAATATGACCCCTAAACAAGCAACAGGGTGAAACAGATCCAGGACTTTCCTAGGTCTCACTCAGTTACATTTGGTGAGTACACAGATCTCTGACTGAGAACTTAAGAAGCAATGCCACAGCCTCTTCAGGTTTTTTATATAGGTCTTTTCTAAACAGGGCTCCATCTCGTCCTTCAGAGTGACAGGATTAACAAAAAAATGATCTTTTTTTCCTTTTGGGTACCAGGGATTGAACTCAGGGGCACTCAACCACTGAGCCACATCCCCAGCCCTATCTTGTATTTTATTTAGAGACAGGGTCTCACAGAGTTGCTTAGTGCCTCAATTTTTTGCTGAGGCTGGCTTTGAACTTGTGCTCCTCCTACGTCAGCCTCCTGAGCTGCTGGGATTACAGGCATGAGCCACTGCGTGAAAAGAATCATCTTTTTTTTTTTTTGCCTAACTTATTTTTTTTTATTGGTTGTTTACAACATTACAAAGCTCTTGACATATCATATTTCATACATTAGATTGAAGTGGGTTATGAACTGGTTCACTTTAAATGCATCCAAGTTCACTCAAAGAGACCCCAAAGCTTGACAAATAATTTTCAATAATGTTAAATATGTGGAAAAGTGGATAAATTGAATGGGGAGGGAAAAGGAATATTCAAAGCTCTGTCTTTCAAACTCTTCAGAATAGATTTTATTTGTTTGGGATTAAGCCTTATGAAGAAGGATGCAACAAATGTAAACAAGTCTTTATTTTATTTGCTGATGAACAATAATGAATCCAAAAACTCTGTTCATGTTTCAAGAGATGATTTTTTGAGGCAGAGCTCAATTTTCAATTTTATGGTACAATGAAGGGCATAAAACTTCCAGCACAGAAGTGAACACACTTTTCTCAAGATTTCCAGGAACAAAATATGTGACCATTAGAGAACAACAACAACAACAACAAAAAACATGAACTAAGAGTAGAAATAATTTATTTTTATCATTATTATTAATATGATGATGATGGAGAAGAAGAAGAAGAGGAGGAGGAGGAGAAGGGGGGGAGGGGGAGGGGGGAGGGATACAGGCATGAGGAAATGGCAGTGTGGGGAGTCAAGCTCCAGTATGTCTAGTATAGATTTTTATGTACCATAAAATCTGTTTACCTTGCTTAGCATTTCTAAATCAGAGCAATCAAATATGTAAATTAGTGTAATAGCTACCTTGCACTGTTTTTGTGAAAAGTAAAGCTAATATGCATTTGTAAGGTAGCACCCTGAGTAAATGGTAGTGCTGTGATGATGGTGTATGCTCCCTGAATACCCTGTTGATCCAAACAACAACAACAACAACAGAAAAACAAGTCTAGGAAATAAACAGTGAATGGGGTAGGAGGCCCACGTTCTCCTCCCTGCCAGTTCCAAGGAGATTGCAGAGCAATCAAGAAGTGTTGCAGAAACCATTTTCTCGGATAAAAGTAGGTTGCTTTCCAGTTGCTCTGTGGCTCAGAGCACTGTGACAATATTTGCTATGTGCTCCTGGACTCACTCTGGGGCAGCATGGCCTTCTTAAGATGGCTGCTGTCTAAGCTCTCCAGTCACTGCTGAGGGCCATTGCCAAGTAGGAATGACACATCGAAATTTCCTTGCCAGCCTACCCCATGTTGCTTAGAGGAAGGACTCGTGGAAATGGACTTGCCTTGGACATTCGCTGTGACATTGCATGTATGTTTGAGAAAGGTGACCCTGCTCAAGGACCAGGGTGGATCCAGGTTTAGGGTGTATCCTGCAGGTTTTAGGAAGTATCCCTTGGGTTTAGGGCGTTCCTGGTTTAGGACAATCTGGGTTTAGGGAGGTTCCAGGTTTAAGGTTATTCCTGCTGGGAATAGGGCGTATCCTGCTGCCTGTGGCCTAGGGTGTACCTAGCAAAATGCTAGTGAGATAGGCACAGAGAAGATTGTACCCAGGGAGTTTCAAATCTGAAAAATGAAGAGGAGTCCAGCTAGCTTCCTTTTGAGTCTGGCAGTTTACATGACCAGCTGAAGAGGGTCAAGAAACCAAATAGGCATGATTATCCTCGGGGGTCTAAGCCTTGGAATATTTGTGGGTGGTGGAGAGTGAGACACCTGTGGAGGGTCTACCTGAGTAGAATTCTAAGGACACTCCTGAGATCCAGAATCACAGCAGG